GACTCTGACTCTACCTTTGCTATGACGGTTAGGCTGGGAAAATAAACTTTTTTCTGACATTGATAGCTTAACATCAACGGTAAGCATACATTCTATCGACATTTGGAATAAAAATCAATGTCAGTTTTGGAAGATACAATTAAACAATGTATTGACTGCATTTTCATCCATGTAACAGCAGCTCTGAGAGATTTTCTTGGAAATACTTGTCATTGTTTTACTTCTCTCTGAGTAGAAATCCAAATAAGACCCAACCCGAGAAGTTTTCATTTTCTGATGCGGCTTAAGCTGTACCTCCACTAAGACAAAGCGACGCTAAGAGAGCCACGGCAACATTTGTCATTTCCACAGATCAAGCGCTTGACGTTACAGCAGTGCGAATGATGTCATTTGATTACTGGTGAAGGAACCCAGCAGAAAGATTTAGCTCCTGTTTTGTTTAGTTGTCTATCTTTCAATGGACGCGCACCTTTAGGAAGCAATCCGACTGCTCGGTGACATTTTCTCAACGGTCAGTATCAAACCTGCTTCAAATCGATGATTGCTTGATAATCAGGCTCGTATGTACCGATATGACATCAGAATGTTTCCATCCAAGCCTTTATCCTGGCTTGAGCTTCTCGTTCTAGCTAAATTTTCTTTGATAAGGGATATTTCCATTCAAATAATTCTCAAGATCAACATTGCTGTAAGCAATCTTGTATTTGGTATTACTTTTTTTGTGGATTAATTCTATCTTCACTCTAAATACAATATGATTTTCACAACAGTTTTGGAAGCGACAAAAGACGTGAGCATTATGCAACTTCTTTTCAAAAGTGAATGGAAGAAGGACAAAAAAAGCAAATTTGTATTGAGGTCTTCGATGCAAAGATGAAAGAGAACCCGAAATAGTAAAAATGCGCGTCGACCAACAACACACTGCACCAATCACACACCTCGTTTTGCCAAGGTGTGTGCGGACTCATTCCATTGCAATAAAGGCCGTAGTCCAGTTATCATAGGTCAAAATTCATGTGAAAGGAGTAGACAAGTTCAAAACAGGCTGAAAGGCTTGAAGGCCCTTAAAAGTAAATTGATTAATAAAATGAGCTCATACTATCAATTCATGGTACTGAGGCAAAGTCACAGACATCAAAACGGCCGTCACTGACTTTTTACTTTTTACGGAATCTACTATTAGCTCTTAACTTGTAATGTTGGCCTGTGTACAAAATTGTTTCGTGCTTCCGTTAGACCCAACCTGCAATATCTACCAAAAACGACTTCTTGGGTAAACTGGACGCACATATATTCAAACTCCCACTTCTCAACCTCAAAAAACTGATTTACGATTGGTAGTTAGTCCTCTTGCTCAAAAGCTGACGTCAAATAAGTTCTAAAGGCACTGATACTGAAAGATCCTTGACTAGATCTTGTGTTTCTAACATCAAAACACAATGAAACTGCACTAAATTCCTGCATTGCTAAAAATTCAGGCTGACAGACCTTCAAAAATAGTATGTTGCTAGTTTTAATGAGCAGTTATCTACTATCTTATAATGTTGTTCATATGTAAGAACGTGGCAACAAAGAACGACTGATCAAGTTTGTATCTCTTAAGGATGTCGACGATTTTCTATGGTTTGTTTTGCATAAAGCAATTAAGTAAGTATTGAATACTTAGAGTGGAGTAATCGATATAACTACTAATGGCCTTGATTATATTACAATTCAGTGGAGAATTAAATAGATTTTAATCGATATTTGATGAAATAGTCCTAGATGTCAATATTCAATATTCCCAGCGGAAATTAATATGAATAAGTGACATCTCAATAGATGTCATGGTGTGTTGGAGAACAATGTTAACTGGCGTATGCCTGATTTTTACCTACTTTATTTATACCGAAGCAGCTGTGTAGGCAAACGCCTAACTACCAGGGAACCGCTACTGCTTATGAGGAGCTGAAAGAACTTCTCTTAATCCAATTTTTGAACTGCCTAAAGGTAGTAGAACTGGGAGACGCCTCCTCAGATAGATTGTGCCAGAATGTCGATGCCCTTGGGACAAAGAAGCGGTCATCTCGACTAGTTCTGGAACTACGAAGTTTGACACTGTTTGGATTCTAGACCGGAGTCAGGCTTGTCTGCTTGGTAGACACTTCACGCGGCGCTATCATGGAGGAGAGCTTTGAGGAGCAAAGCCCGCTGACATAGGCAGAAAAGAGCTCGATCGCCGACGGTCCGTCAGTGCGAAACAGTCCCGACACTGTCCATTGAAGGACAGTCATCGATGTGGCGATCAACCCTCCTTTGAACAGCATCGAGCATAAATAATATGGTCATGACGGCAGCACCCCAAAACATGTGAGCAGTCTAATCTGGGCGGTTGTATGGTGAAAAGTACTTCTTAGCCCTACAAAAACAGCCTAGCTTTTTCCCAGCAGCTGCCGCTACTTTGGAGTTTTTCTAACCTTAAAACACCATGGGACTGTACTAAAGTCCATGCTGCATTGCGCCATACCACGCACGCCAGCGATACACTTGCTGCCAGTCAGCTTGTCGCTGGTTCTACGATTTTCCGCTTATTACCATAATAATTATTACGATACTGTTTTGTTTTGGATTTATGCGCTTCTATCGGCTGTTATTCTCTTTCACCTCCAAAGAAATATGTAGTGCACCTCGAAGTCTGGCGGTACCGAGAACTATCACCAAGGACGCGCGGTTAGGTTGAGTTGTACAGCGTAGTACGGCCATTGCGTTATTTCATTGGTACTGCATATGGTGTTGCACAACTTTGGGAAAGTACACATTTTAATTGCTTCAATGATGTCCAAACTTTGAAGTATCATTTTGGGTAGTACTAGCACGAATGAGCTATTTTCACAGTTTCCAAGATCTTTGCTTTTTAAAATGTTGGAAATTTTCAGACGATTCAAAAATTCGAAATCTAGTATTGTTGCTGTAAACAAATCCTCCTTGGACAGTTCTTCAATGAACCAAAGATCTATAAATTTGACCCTCAACCTGCTGATAAATAGTATGAGTCAGCCGGGGGTATTATTTCCATATCTGACATGCAGCTGCCCATTATTGACGGTATTAAAAAGATCTATCCGAGTGATCGATGACATTTCTTCTACAGATAGACTGTTTCGAGCCACTCTAATGTCGACAAGCTTTTTTTGATCTGGATCTTCTTTACTCATTAGGAAGCGTTACATTTTTTAGCTTTCCGGTTTGTACAGTGAGTATTGGCTTATGGTGTCGAGATTGTGGACTGTACTAGTAGTAGTCGTAGGGAGAAGAAGCCTGACAACTAGGCCAATCTGGCTCCCTTTTTTCGCTCCCGTGTGTACCAAACCTCTCGTCCACAAGCTCATCTACTAATTTATCAAACCTTCCTGATCCTGTACGTACTGAATATCAGGATGTCCAACCACCCCGCTAGGTATGCGACTGGACTATCAAACTCCATGGCTCCGGATATATCAGCCCTTAGACTGCAACTTACGAGGTAAAAGCTTCGGAAGTAGTACGTTGGTTGCCTCGTTCTCGTTTCAGCTCATGGGGCGGATTCTCTTTTCACCCCTACAGGCGAAAGATTAAGCAATTCTCTACTTTGCCTGGTGGTTTGTCGGGGCCAGCTATGAAACTCTCAGGCTCCCTTCAGTAATCTCGCCACACTTTTCCAGGTCCCTATACTTCCTATTCTCTCAGTGCGACGTTGACCTGGCACCTGCTTACATCCAACATAGGCTCAGGACCGATGCAGGAGCCGCTGACCCTAAGTCTAGCCAGATAATCTGCTGTCTTATTACCCAGAACTCCGTTATGTCTAGGAACTCGAAGCAGTGGCACTTCTCTGGATCGTGCTAAATTATGAATGGTAGTAGTACATTTCTGGACTGGAGGTGAACTTGTCCGAGGACATGCCACTATCATCAGGCCTGCTTGACTGTCGGAAGATACAAATTTGCTCCACATGGCCATTTTTGAAGCTCCTTTAGGTATGCCACCAGTGAGATTCCAAACATCTCTACCTAAAAACTATTGTGCAGGTTTCAAGTGCAAAGCAGTTCAGCTTACCTTTGCCCACATATTTGCTTGGAAAGGGTTCGGTCTGTGCAGCACACCATACTATGAGGCAGGGAAGCTATCGCCCGACTCACCCATTCGTCCTTCATGGGCTGATGAGTGAGAATCAGGTTGTAGCCTAATGCGTCAGTCTCTTTAACTTCTTTTGTAGTAGGGACAGAACACCCATGCCTGGGCTAGGTTAGGTTTTTTGTGAATGGGTCAATGACGATGCTCCGCTGCGACTTACTGGCCTATTGTAGCTCACACCTATTTGTATTTCTCCCAGTAATTACGATCTCCCGGAGAAGTAGATCAGCTTATTTGATCTCCTATTTGATGCACCACTCTCCCAAGTGTACCTGATGCAATTTGTAATGATCAATGTACAGTACCATTAAAGCCTTAAGGTTATTCCTCTTTAGCCTCAGCCGCTACCCTTTTTGATAAATTGGCTTTTGCGGCCAGTTGATAAACTGCTGTCTTCGGGTATAAAGGCCGTCGTCGGTTGGAATTTCTTCCTAACGTTTCGCTGTAGACAGTCAGTCTGCACCCAGCATCGGAAATGGAAGGACCTCTGAAGAAGCTTGCCACTCGTGCTAGCGAAACGTTAGGAAGAAATTCCCACCGACGACGGCCTTTAGACCTGAATCAAGACAGCACCTATCCTTTTTTGTTAAGGTTGCTATAGTTGCCTTGATATGGGTATGACCTGATATCCATATGATACGTCTTTCCATCACTTGTAAAACCAAGAGCTTCTTCGCAATTACACAGAAGTTTTGATCTTGAGTAAGTAGAATCAAGTGTTTGAAGCTCGGTTTGACCATCTGAAAGAATATTTATAGTTGTGTTCGATCATTCTGGCGCATACGAGGGATGTCTTTTAAGTTTTGCATATGAAAATAAAACAACACGGTAGGTAGTTTTAAATGACTTTATTGTTTTTCAAAGTATTCTTCACGAAGATTAATACACATCTGCATGCGCTCGAACCAATTTTCGAAGCACTTATTCCACTCGTTTGCTGGCAGATCCAAAACGTCAATGCGTCAACTGCTTGTTCCGGTGATTGGAACCTTTGACCACGCAGTCTGTTTTTAATTTTCGGGAAAGTAAAGATTTCGTTAGGACTTAGATCGGGACTATATGGAGGATGGTCCAATAATTCCACGTTTTCTTCCGTTAAATACTGCCTTGTTTTTTGGGTTGTGTGCGAGCTTGCATTGTCTTGGTGGAGGATGATTCTTCCTTCGGGGTTGATTTTTCGAAGCTCGGTGATGACTTTTGGCAAACAAATGGTGGTATACCAATCCGCAGTAACAGTTCTTTGCTCTTTATGAGGAATTGTTGCAATATGACCCGCTTTTGACACAAATGTCGCGACCGTCTTTTTCGAAACACTTCGAGAGTGGATGACTTTTGTTGGCTTTTCTTCACCTTGGAACACCCAAACAGCCGACTTTCGTTTATTTACTGGTTCATAATACTAAATCCACGATTCATCACCACTAACAACGCTGTACACATTTTTTGAGTTTCCGGAATTGAAACGGTCAAGCGTTTTTTGCCACCAATCAACCCTGGCTGCTTTCTGCTCTTCAGTCAACTTTGGGGTATCCAACGAGAAACTAATTTTCTTACTCCTAATTCTTCAAGTAAAATTTTTTGAATTGAGGTCTATGATCTTCAAGGACTCCTCAATCTTGCAATATGTCACATGTCTATCTTCAATGATGAGTTTCCGCACAGCATCGACGTTTTCCTGGGTGACTGCCGTTTTTGGTGCACCCACCCTGGGATAGTCGCTAAGACTCACCTGACCACGTTTGAATTTTCCATACCAACGAGAAATTGTCGACTGATGTGGCGCTTCGTTGCCGAAAACAGACAGTAACTCAGCAAGGCATCCTTGTTGCGATAATTGTCTCTGAAAGTTGTAATAAATTATGGCGCGAAAGTGTTCTCGGTTGAGTTCCATTTTTCTAATGACTTGGTGATACAGCGAGAACACTGCGCGTATTGTTGTGAAACTTTGAGTTTAAGTTCACTAAAGAGTGAGGTTAAGATTCAGTACTGACGTTCGATCCGCGCGGCCTACTATGTTTCTATACGCAAAACTTAAAAGACATCCCTCTTATAGCTCTGCCTGGAAAATCGATATCCAGCCCCAAGACCTACTTCGGTCTTGGAGTCATCTGTGTATACACAGCTATGTTTCCTTGCTGATCCCACTCCTTTCTTTGAGGATTTTTCTTTCAGCAGGGTAACACGTACGCTGCCCTTCGAGCCTTGCATTAGGAAGGCAACCGATATGTAGGTTTTGCCTTTCATGCCGCAATAGTATTTAGGATAGATTGTTTACCCTGTGCCTACGTCTGAGAGGAAATGTAGGAAATATATCGCATAATAAAAATCTGTGACTTGTTTCAGTAAACGTATTCCTATATATCTCTAAGCCGCATAGCGACGTGTTTTCAGTTCATGAGAACCTTTTATTCGCAGCAGCCAGCCAGCCATCATAAAATATTCTACCATTCTCATGCTCTAAATTCACTTCTTATCTGTTTCCAGCTCAGTTTTATTACTGTAAATAAAACTTGGACAAAGCTACCGTTTGTTGGTTCTTTTAAATGCATACTCTTGTGTGTACCCGGGTTCGGCTTTTATCGTTTTGTCAATGTTTGTTGGGTGCATGGAGAAAGGCAGGAAGTGGGAATACAGGTGAAATGTACCCTTTGGTATAAATAGGTTTATTTCTATGTGTGCTAACGTATCGAAATAAGACAGCACAAAGTGTCATCTGTTAACAGAATTGACCTCTGTGGAAGTGAAAACAGCAAGCTCTCTGTTAGAATTGTTCGCAGTTCGCATGGTCAGCCGGGTCACCAATGTGGCCACCGATTCTGGTATTACAGATACGGTCTACTCGCCATTGAAAAAACTCGTAGTATAGCTCTCGTTTATCCACAGTAAAGTTTCGCAATACCGACTATTTCATATCCACCATATCTTAATCGATGCAGACATCTTGCGTTCAAATACTAATAATCTACGGTAGAGCGCCTCCATTGTACAGTCCGACCATAGACGTCCAAGACGTTCAGCTGTTTCGTGCTACTTGCCGACTCCTCAATATGGTCTAGGCTTGATTCCGGGAAGGACAATTCAGGATTTCCCTCGCTGGTCTACCTAGGGACTTGCCAGTAATGAAACAGCGCTGTACACGGTTGGTCGGACGGGTGAATGCAGTACAAGTTGCTTTTGTTTTACACACAATCTGAGTTACGCTCGTCTCGCTCCGGTCTAATTACCAAAAGTCAGTTTAAATCAGATGAAATTTGTTTTTCCATAACTACCAGAATTAATGACAGTAGCAGAAGTCATCCTGCACTGTACCTTTTGATTACAGCGTAGTAGCAGTGGCGTACGATTAGTTTCGCTACTGTCATCAATTTTGGTATTTTACTATAGGATATTGCAAACAATTTGGCGCCACTTTAGATATGCATCTGTAGCTTATTTCAATGCTCTAGATCAGGGCTGTCCAACATACGGCCCGCGGGCCGCATGCGGCCTGCGAACTCCTTTCTTACGGCCCGCTTCATGGGTTACGTATACATCACAAGTATAAATTACTCTCAAATACCGAATATGCATATACCTATTAAAACTCAGTAATAATGTTGCATAGAAAGATTTTATAACGCGGCTCTCCAAACTGCATTTTTTTTTTTGAAGTGGCCCTTGGGCCACATTAAGTTGGACAGCTCTGCTCTAGATGAATCTGCAGCCAACCCAATAATTGATAACCGGAAGTAGTAAACTCTCAAATGGAAAAATATCCGTCTTATTTGATATTTGACGTTTTCAACAACTTAACTCCTACAGGACCTCTAGGTAAAGCTGACAGTTGATAATTGAAAGCTACTTCATGTTGTGTGTGCATGTTCTATCTGAATCTATTATTGTTTCTTTTGAATATAAGCTATATTGTATCTGTAATAACGGTCTATCCTGCAACCATAGTGGTATCTTCGTATACATTAACTTATATTACTATATATTACATCCATTATGTATGTATCAATTCCTTTATCGTGTAGACTTGCTTTATTACATTGCGGTAAACATAATGAATATGCAGTTTGCGTTCCAATTCCCAGATTTATGAGAATATCGAAGTAAGCATATCGTATCGTAACTAAGTTACAATCTAACAACGTAATTTCAATAAGATTATGACGATTTTAATATGCTATTGAGGATGCACAACCCATTTGAAGCATAATTCAAATAATCAAATGAACAAACTTATGAGTGACTAAACATTTTCACATGATAGATCCGGATAGAGATATCAAACTGTTACCGATATACCAATGGAATTTAGTCGTCTGAGCGCTCCTCTATGAAGCTGCTTTAGGTCTCTTAGACAAATTTATCAGGCGCAGTATTTTAAATCAATCAAGTGATCCTAGGCTAGGTTTTTCTCATGAAATTGGTTTATTTGAATGAATGAATGAATCTTGAATTTTAGAGGCATCCCGGCCACCATAAGGAGCCAGTGCATAGGCCGCTTAAGCGGGCCCTTATGCACCTCTACAATACTTAAATCACAAGCCTCGCCCTTTTAGCGAAGTTGAGAATCGCCTTGAGTCCAAGCTCCTTTACGTCCTGAGGGTCCAAAGTAATGGACCCCAGTATAGTCTGCCTATAGTAGCTCAGAGCTTCACAGCGACACAAAACGTGCGCCGAGGTCTCTTCCTCTACTCCGCAGCGTTCGCACAAGGGATCCTCAGCCACCCCCATCACGTGCAGGTGCCGCCTTAACGTGTTATGGCCAGACAACAGTCCCACCAGCAACCTTAGGTTGGCTCTACCCAGAGATAGGCAGAAGCGTCCATCCTTAGCACTGGGCCGTTCAATGAGCTCTCGTGCCTGGCGGAGATGTCTAGAGATACTTCTCCATTTCTGAGAGTGTTGTCTTGCAACCCACGTCTCCATTTTCCTCCTAGCTTTATGCGCGGTTACTCCTAGAGCTGGCTCAGGACCAACGAGCTTGCTGGCTGATCCTGTTTTCGCCAGAGTGTCCGCCGTCTCATTGCCCCTTATTACAGCGTGCCCCGGTACCCATATTAACGATACCGGATGCCTCGCTGCGAGGCAATCCAGAGCCTCCCTGCATTGCAATACAAGACTCGAAGTAATCTTACATGCACTTAGTGCTTTCATTGCAGCCTGGCTGTCGGATAAGATTGTTATTCTTCTCCTAGGCCCACCCTCCTCCAGAATGTGAGATACACAAGCCAGAATCGCAAAGATTTCCGCCTGGAAAATGGTGGTGTACTCACCGAGAGGCAGAGATAGCCTAGTTCTAGGTCCAGAGACCCCAGCACCTGAGCCCTCTTCGGTGACCGAGCCGTCCGTGTACCAGACCTGCCCGCTCACTTCGGAGAGTCCTCGGCTACCGGCGTCCCACTCCTCCCTCGTTGGGTACTCCACAATGAACTTGCGGTTGAAGCGATATTTAGGGGTAATACGATCACCCCTGCTTAGAACGACGGGGTCCTCCCTTTCTAATTCGACTAATATGGCAGTATGCCCCTTGACCGGATTCAAGAAAGCCCAGCTGCCCTGACTCCACAGTCGATGAGCGACTACTCTCGCTTCACCGCGGATCACCAGATCCAACGGTGGGAGATCCAACAGAGCTTCCATTGCACTCAATGGCGTTGTTCGCACTGCGCTTGTAATGCTAATACAGGCCAAACGCTGAATTTTATTGAGTTTGGCCTTAGTTGACTCAGTTCTAATGCAAGGCCACCAGACCAGGGAGCCGTACAAGAGAGATGGACGTACTATCGTCGTGTAGAGCCAGTATACCACTTTGGGTTTAAGCCCCCACCTTACACCGACAACACGTCTACAAGCCCACATCGAATTGCGAGCCTTGCTAACCTTGTGTTCCACATGCTCTCTCCAGTTCAGTTTGCAGTCCAGGATAATTCCCAGATATTTCACTGACTGGGACAAAACTAATCTAGTCCCAAAGAAGGTAGGCATGACCAGTCCGTCAAGCCTTCTTCTCCTAGTGAATAGGATCAGCTCGGTCTTTTCAGCATTAACAGAAAGATCGACTTCCCTACACCACGATTCCACGGAGCGCAGAGCGCCCTGCATAATTTCCGAGACTGTTCTACAGAAACGCCCCCTAACCACTATGCTTACGTCATCAGCATAGGCTTGCACGTAGACACCCATACTGTTGAGCCTAACGAGCAGTTCGTTCACCACGATACACCACAGTAGGGGTGACAGAACTCCACCCTGAGGGCAGCCTCTAGCTACGTTCACGCTGCAGCTTACGTTATTCAGCATAGCTGTTGTTACCCGACCCTCCAGAGTAGAGAGGACCCAATCTATTAGGATTGATCCAACCCCGTGTCTAACCAAGGCCTGTCTGATAGAGTCGGTTGTGGTGCAATTAAATGCACCTTCAATATCTAAGAAGGCCACGAGTGCCACTTCTCGCTGATCTAGAGTCTTCTCCAGCCTCCCGACCAGATTGTGTAAGGCCAGATCAGTCGATTTTCCAGCTTGGTATGCAAACTGATTTGCATGAATGACACACCTTTCCAGTGGGCCATCCCTTAGGTATCTATCAACTATCCTTTCCAGGGTCTTAAGCACAAAAGATGAAAGAGTAATCGGTCGAAAATCCTTCGGGCCAGTATATCTATCTCTGCCCGGTTTAGGAATGAATACCACTTTAGCCTGCCGCCAACTTCTAGGTGTGAAGCCCGTGGCCACACATGCTCGAAACACATTCAACAGGTAAGGAACAACCGAAATCCATCCCTGCTGTAACATGGCCGGAAATACGCCGTCCAGACCTGGACTTTTGTATGGGGCAAACGAATCTACTGCCCATACCGTCCTTTCGAAGGTGACAATCTCCCTTGCCGTGCGCCAGTCCTC